ACAGGAGATGGAGATGCGTGTTTGATCTCTGGGTTGGGAAGATCTGGAGGAGAAAATGGCAACCCACTCCAATATTCTTGCCTGGAAAATCCCACGGACAGAGGAGCCTGGTTGGCTACAGCCCACAGGATCGCAGAGAGTCAGATACGGCAGAGCGCGCACGCATGCCCGCAGCGTACACACACGAAAAACTCACTGTACCAGCATACTTAGGAAACTACAGATAATTATCTTTCCAAGCACAAGCATCCCATACAACAATGTAGTCAGGAATTGAAAGCAGGTTCCCTCCAAGCAATACAATAGTGCCTGAATTTGAAGCTTTGGAAGAGGCAATTTTCAGATTCAAGCCGAGTACTTATATTCATTTCCTGTTCCCCTTTGTTCACAACATCCTAATCACGGTAGTATATTTGCATCTATCACTTTTGCAAACTACAGTGTACCCACAGCCTCTAATAAAGTGTGTTTAGGAACTCAGCACAGCACTGGGATTAAAAAGCACTCTGACTGGTAGACTACCAGGGTTCAAATCTAAACTCCACCATTTGTCATGTGACCCTAGGCAAGTTATTTAACATGGAGGTGCTTCAATTTCCTCACGTGAGAATGTGAGAATAATAGTTACACCTACTCATGGCACTGCTATGAAAAATGTGCTAATTTATATAATGTGCTTAGAATAGTGCTTGACTTACTCTAAGCACCACAGAAGTGTGCGCTATTAATACTCAACAAATGCTAGCTATGTAAAATACTTATGTGTTCTGATAGTTCGAAAACAAACCCAAATTATGTGCAAGATCTGCACACCAAAAACTGGAAAATATCGCTCAAATTAAAGAGCTAAATAAATGGAACATTTGTGTTCATGGATTAGAAGATTTAATATTATTTAAACTGATCTACATTCTCAACGTGCGTGCATGAAAGTGCTCAGTCGCTTCAGTCATGTCCAACTCTTTGGAACGTTATGGACTGTAGCCCTCCAGACTCCTTTGTCCATGGGATTCTCCAGGCAAGAATACTGGAGTGGGTTGCTAAGCCCTCCTCCAGGGGATCTTCCTGACCCAGGGATCAAACCTGCACATCCTTTGGCTCTTGTATTGCATATGAATTCTTATAAAACTGAGCCACCAGCCACCAGGAAAACCCCACATTCTCCATGTAATTCCAATCAAAATCTGAGTAGGCATGTTTGCAGTTTAACAAGCTGATTCCAAAGTTTTTCTAAAAATGCAAACAATCTAAAATAACCAACATAAGTTTGAGAAAGAAAGAGGACTAAGACTATCAGATGTCATCGTAGTATAAAGGTATAAAAAGGCTGTGTGCTATCAAGAGAAATAAAAGCCCACATTCACTGACACTTGTATATAAATTTTCATAATAGCTGTACTAATAATAGCCAAAAACTGGAAACAACTGAAATATCCATCAAGCCAAATGTGGATGGATTAACCTAGCATAACCATACACGGGAATGTGCGTGCGTGCTCACTCACTCCAGTCATGTCCGACTCTTTGCGACCCTACGGACTATAGCCTGTCCGGCTCCTCTGTCCATGGGATTCTCCAGGCAAGAATACTGGAGTGGGTTGCCATGCCCTCCTCTGAAGGATCTTCCCGACCCAGGGATCAAATCCACGCCTCCTGCTCTCCTGCATGGCAGGTGGATTCTTCACCGCTGAGCCACCAGGGGAGCCCACGTGGGGATACTGGGCAGAACAAAGGAGAATAAAAACGCACAGTAAAGACGAATCTCAAATAACCATGCTGAGTTAAAGAAGTCAGATCCCTCCTCCACAAAAAAGCGCAGGACAACAACGGAAAGCTGACCCGCGGCTGCCGAGGGACAGGGCTGGGGAGGGGGGGCTGCCTGCAAAGGAGCACGAGGGAACTCCTGCAGTGATGACTGTGGAGGTGGTGGTTACACAATACAGACACGTGTCAGAACTCGTCCAACTGCACACTTAAGATCAGTGAACCTGACTGCATATAAATTATGCCTCAACAGAAACGAAGTCACAAAGCAGCACTGTCTTTCAAAAATAGAAACGTAAGGTTTTCTTTGCATATTCATGAAAGAATACAGACAGGAATTACTATTTACTTAATACAGTTAAGAAATCTATATTACCTTATCCAAATTTTGTAAACTTAGCATGATGAAACAACCAAAAACACTATGTGAATGGTTCTTTTACATCTGCGTCTCCTTTAACTAAACAATCAATGGAAATCTACAAAAGAACTTTCTCATGCTGAACACAAGTACTTATTCAAGATGAAAAGTAATAAGCAACACAGGATTTAACTAGGAAATCCGTTAGCAAGCTTGTCACTGGCCATAAGGTTATCTAAGCCTGCCAGCTTCCAGAGAACTGGGGGGAAAAAAAGAAGTATAAAGGAGATTTAAGAACATGAAACAGCTCTTATGCTACCCGAAACTTAGCAACGGTAATTCCCATGATTCTAATTCTATTCTTAAATAAATAACCTTGCAAGAATCAAGAATACAGAGATTGTTCCTTAATGGTATAAGTCAGTCAATAATAGGGAACATAAACAGGACACTTTTATCTCACAAAGTTCTCTCAGGGGAGCACTACTTACCTGATAAATTCTCCTGAGGTAGGATGTTTTTCTCTTTAAGTCTCAAAAAATAACAAATATTTTACTTATATTTTATACTATTAAGCAGTTATTTTTTACGCATATCTCTTTATTAATCCTCAATCTTTAAAATCAGAAAATAAAATCCGTACCATAAGCAATAAATGAGGACATAAATATTTACAAGGAGAAAAAAAGACAGTGTAAGCAATTTCCAGTTAAATAACCACAGAGATAACTAATATGCATATTACACAGATCTGGTTAGAATAGGCAATGTGCTACTTTATCTTCTAATTGATGTTCTCATATGTTAGTTTACAGCTTTAAAAAAGATATTTAAGATCTCAATTAGATTAACCATTCCTTTTGTAAAGTAAGACTACAAGTAATAATCACATTCAGTTTCTTTCAAGTTCTACACACATTCACACATTCCTTCTACCTGCAATGCCCTTTCCACTTATCCCACCCATTTAGATTCCTCCCATCTCTCACCACCTATCTTAATTGGTACATGTTCCCGGATCCCTTGAACTAGAAACTCTGTATTCTGAAACCTCACAGCTCTTTTCTGTAGTCTTTTATGGCATTTAACACCTTCTACCTTGCACTCTACTTCAAGTACAGTAAACTATAAGTATCCTTGAAAAGAAGGTCCACACTTTATTCTGCCTTGTAACCCTCAGAGATCATAGTACCTGAAACTAAACATTTAGTAAATGTGCTACCTAAAACACAGAGGAAAACAATAATTTTTAGGCACTCTGTGCCCCACAATGCCTTGGGAGATACAAAAGGAAACAAATGCCAATGATAGTGACCTGCTCTAAATCTGAGAGACACAGACAAGCAAACAGATTAATACAATATATTATAACTGTGATAAGTGTTATAATAGGAGAGGAACAGGGTGCTCTGAGGGGGAACATTAGAGTTAGGGCATTAAGTATGTTGAAAATTGTTCTAATTTCACAAACTATGTCAGGAAACCAAGTCTAGGTTTCTGAAGGGACAAAAGAAGCTTTCAAGGGGGCTATAGTAAGAGTACCCTTAATCCTGAAATTTTTTCTTAAGCTGAAACTTAACACTCCACCTATATAACAACTTTACTTGCAAACAGAGAGTAACAATTTTCTCTGTATTCTTGGTACAACCCTCTGCAATAACCAGGCCTGGTCTTACTACATTTACACAAATTTACCCATCCTATCCTTTTACACTTGTCTGAATTGTGCACCAATTCCAAAAAGCACATGCCATTCCCACGCCCCAAACTCTGCAGATCTAAATCTATTTAACCTTTAAGGTTCTTTTCAAGCCCCACTTCCTGATCTATCACCCAAGAGTACTACATCCCCCAAACGTATACTGTAATATTACTACTCTCTGTACCTCTCTTTTTTAACAATTAATGATGAAGTTAATTCTTAAACATTTTTTTTTTACAACTTGGGAGTTAAACAGAATTGACCTCATACCCCAGATGTGCTACTTTCTTGCAATGTGAAGTTGGGCCAGATACAACATTCTTTAACCATAGTTTCCTCTTCATTAAAATTAGGATTTAACTGGGTGATGTGTACATATGCCTAAAATACACCTATATTCATACTACATATAATACATTACATACATATATGTAATTTTAATACTAACTTGTATTTAATATTCATATTTAATTTTATTACTCTTATTTCAAGGAGGAAGATGCAAACTCTAAAACTCAACGAAAGAGCAATGAAACATGAACAAAGTGGGTACTAAAAACTGTATCAATCAGTCGATATAAAGGAGCCTCACAACTTTCAAATGTGCTCTCAAGACAACTCACACAAGATACCCTTAGCAGAATTTCTCATGTCTCCTATGGAAAACCACGAAAAATTCAGAGGCGAAAAGACACAAGCAGTTACTGAGGTCCTAGGATGGTGGCCCTACCACTGACATACTTCCCAAGGGTTTATCTGCTTCTGTGCAACCCAAAAGGAAGGGAAGAAATACCCTCTATTACGTAAGTCAAATAGTACATCAATTTAACACTTTTTTTTTTTTTTTAACCTGCATTATCCCTAAGAGACAAGCAAAACAGCTTCTGCATATTTCAGCCTCGGAAGAGAAAGTCCAAGTGGGATGGGGCTGAGTCATCTACTAAAAATCATCAACGTCTGCCCCACCCTGGAATGGGGACACTATTGAGACCATTTCCAGCGCGGTCCGGGACTCCCCACGCTCTGCTCCTACCGCATCCTTTTTCAAGTCCCCACCTCGGGCGCCTGTCCCGGCACTAGGCGCAACCTGGCATCTGGCATCCCCACACCAGGGTCCACGCCTGTCTCTCGTCCCTGATCAGACTCCGACCCCCGCCCGGCAACTGCACTCACCCGGGCGGTGACCTTATACACCGTGTAGCCCCTCGGGTGTCGCTGGGGCTCCGTGACAGTGTAGAATCGGGCCAGATCGGCACCCCGCTCGCGGGGAGAGGTCATCCTCCCGCCGCCTCTGCCGCCGCCGCCTGCCGGGGATCATCAGTGCAACCCGGCGCCGCCGCGGTTCCCTGAAGCAGCGGCCAGGCGGCGAGGGGGCGGTGGCTCATCGGCGGCGCCTCCGCCCCTGGGCTCTGCTTCCGGGGTCGCGGGAAAGCTTCCGGGTCAGACCCGGGCTCTAATCCTTGGAGGGAGACTCCACGTTAGACCCGGACCCCCATCCCGGCCTGAGCCTGGCAAGTGAACGAGGATCAGGCAATGGCACCGCCAGCGACGAGATGGAGGGATACCCCAGCCTAGTATCTTCTTTCCTTTCTTATTGGCGGCCCTTTGGTTTAAATACCCACAACCCCTGAACTCTTCTTTCAAAACAGACTCGGTCCATCTGTGCACCTGTGTTTATACCACCACAAAGAGAAAGTGAAGTCGCTCATTCGTGTCCGACTCTTCGCGACCCCATGGACTGTAACCTGCCAGGTTCCTCTGTCCATGGGATTTTCCAAGCAAGAGCACTGGAGTGGGTAGCCATTTCCTTCTCCACGTGATGCAACCCAGGGATTGAACCCAGGTCTCCCACATTGCAGGCAGACGCTTTACCATCTGAACCACCAGGGAAGCCACAAAGTGAAAGTCAATCAGTGTCCTGATTTTGCGACCCCAAGGACTGTACAGTCCATGGAATTCTCCAGGCCAGCATACTGGAGTGGGTAGGCTTTCCCTTCTCCAGGGGATATTCCCAACCCAGGGATCGAACCCAGGTCTCCTACTTTGCAGGCAGATTCTTCACCAGCTGAGCCACAGCAAGCCCCCCCAAATTAAAAAAAAAAAAAAAAGTTGCCTGTCTTAAGAGTTTTATAAGGATTAAGCTTCAACCCACTGCAGTGCGCTCACTGACAGTACACCCTGAGGGGAATTCAAACTAGGGGAAATTAATACGCATTCCCTGCTTTGAATATACTAACCCTTAGGTAGTTAAGTTGCATATCTAAGGGAAAATTTCATAGATATCGTGGTCTGGGCATGGGTTGGAAAGGAGTTTCCAGGCATGAGACAGAGTGAAATGGAAAGTAAAGTTTATTAGAGTGGGAGATGCTGTTAGAATAGCGGGCCTGCTCAAGGGAAAACCGAGGTTGAATGGGGGTCCTTAGTCCACTTTTATACCCAGGGTACAAGCAGTGGGATGGGGGTCTTGCGGTCATTTGCTGATTGGATGAGGCATGTATACTGGGTGGGGAAAGAGTAGGGCAAATACCTTTTCTCTATGGGATAGGAGGGGAGATAGGTTATACTGTTCCATTAATAAATAGTATATATATAATATACACAGTATATAGTATATAATATATACTGTTCCATGCGGGAGGGAAGGATGATAAGGGTCTGGTTTTTCTGTTCTTGCATTCCAAGACCCTCCTTGGTTTTATCTGCTCTTTCATCCTTGGGTCACCACGGTCCTCCCTCTATTTTTAGGGCTGATTCTTTGGCCTCTTTTGATAACCTGCTCATGTCTAACTACCTACCTATTTCACTTTTTAGGCACTTGGGAACCCAGTCTCAAAGGAAAACGGGCGATGATCGCTCTGGCTTCTTCAGGCTGTACAGAGGTGTAGTGGGCCTCTGGGTTCCCTTCGCCTGCTCTCTGTCAGGGTGCATTTACGGAGGGAGATGAAAGTCCATAAAGTGATAAGGCAGCTTGTTTCAGCATTGTCTGGGTGTTGGCCAGGGAACATTCTTGTCATACTACCACTTGGAGATTTGTTGTATTCTAGAAGAAACAAACTTAAAGAGAAAGTTAAAGGTACGTGACCCAAAGAGTAATAGAAGTAGAAAAGCTGCTGAAGAGCTAGCCAGGAGAATCAGGACTAGACATTGGTTCGTGACATTAGTGCTTCTCTAGGTATGAGAAGATGCAAGAATTTGGGCTCATAAAATCTTTACCTGAAAACATCTGACCATCTGAAGGCCAGTTCTTCTGGGTTTTTCCCGAGCACAGAGTGCCTTATTTATGATCTCCACCCTGAATTCCTTTCAGGGGATGTTGAAGGTCAGCAGCTTGCAGTGGTCATGATGTAATGTAATTTCATTCCTCATACCTTCTTTACTGAAAACACACATCGTACTTTCCTTAAGCAACCAAGAACTGACCTTTATATTAGCATTCTACAGATTGGTGAACGTAAATACCAGTGACAATTTCCCAAAAAATTCTAGAGAACATCTCAGGATGGCATCAAACATTATTCATTAACAGTCCAAAATCTCTAGTTTCTCTGTAAGAGGAAATTAGTGTTCAGTAATGAATGTTTCAGAATCTTATTTTATTTGGAAATGATCTAGCTATTCAATAAATCAGTCACTTAGTTTAGCACAGCCCTAGAAATTCAGGTTACAAAAATCTAGAGGGACTGTTTTAGAGAGACATTTCTAAAGTATAATGATTCTTAATAGTTTATCTAAAAGCTCCTATCTCATTACATTTTTTTTTGAAGTTTCTTCACTTGAGGTACTTTCCTTGCTGACAAACTTGTAACAGATATAACAATACAACAACAAAAAAAATAACAATATTTAACTTATAATAACCCTAGGCACAATGAAAATATGCTTCAGGTTAATGACTCTTAGACATGTCTATATTAGGTTAGCAAACAAACATTAATATTAGATATTTAATATTGATTATTTCCCAGTTCACGTGAATCTGAAATTCATTTAGGTTAATTTCTCTTGTATTTAGAAATTGTCTGATTTGTAAGCACTTACTTTTCTTTAGGCCAATTAAGTTAGAACTCATTTACAGCTTCAGCAATATTAAAAAAAAACAACAAAAAAAGACACACACTGAGACATACATAAATCCAGACAGACAGACAGACAGAGATCTCATAGTTTGCTTCTTGAGATTTAAAATGTCTCTTTGACCCTTCCCCCTTTTTTTCTTTGCTTGAAGTTCCAATTTGCCCAAGGCTGAGGTCTCAGGCAAATGGGCTGTGTATTTCAAGGACATGAAAGGATTAACCTCAAGCTTTTCCCTAGGCAGGCCTTTTAACAAGCTAGTTGTTTTTAACTGCATATGCAAAAAGAACTGGTTTTGCAGTTTCCAAGAAAAAAAATTCATTTTAACCAGTTTTCTCCAGAGTCTAAAGAAAATCATGGCCATCCTGTGTCAAAAAGTCATCTTTCCTTTTTGTGGTCATAGTTTTATAGCTAAAATATAGACCAGCTAGTGCTCAAATTGACTCTGATATCAGGGGCAGATCAGCTGATGAAAATCTTGGATTGTCCCTTTGGTGAGAAGTGAGGTCTTTGTCCCATCAGAAGAATCTGAAGGGCTAAGGGAATTTGCAGGAGTGGGGAAGCGTGGTCCTTCCCCACCCTGAGAAACAGGAGTAGTTAGAAGGGAATTCTTTAGGATGTTCTGGAGTGGGGGAAATCTGGTTCCTTTTCCACCTGAGAGAGGAGAAGGCAATGGCAACCCACTCCAGTGTTCTTGCCTGGAGAATCCCAGGGACAGGGGAGCCTAGTGAGCTGCCGTCTATGGGGTCGCATAGACCCCAGTCTCCTAAGTAGACTGAAGCTACTTAGGAGCAGCCACCTGAGAGATAAGCGTAGTTAGAAGGGAATACTTTAGAATGTTAGGAGAGTTTTTGATTCTTCAGTCTTTTGAATATAGGAGAAAGACCTGGACAAAAGGGAACCTCAGAATCCTTTCCTAGAGGTCATGTGGATATGAAAGGTTGAGTAGGGGTTGTCTAGGAAATCTGATGGAGAGAGACAGAGGGGGCAGGAGATAGGGAGGCAACAGAAAGACACATGCAGCCTGAGCGCCTCAAGTTCGGATTCTGACAGAGGGCCATGAAAGCAACATCTACTGCTGCTGCTGCTAAGTCACTTCAGGCTTGTCCGACTCTGTGCGACCCCATCCCTGGGATTCTCCAGGCAAGAACACTGGAGTGGGTTGCCATTTCCTTCTCCAGTGCATAAAAGTGAAAAGTGAAAGTGAAGTCGCTCAGTCATGTCTGACTCTTCGCGACCCCATGGACTGCAGCCCACCAGGCTCCTCCGTCCATGGGATTTTCCAGGCAAGAGGACTGGAGTGGGGTGCCATCGCCTTCAAGCAACATCTAGGCTCCTGTAAATCAATCCGGACCCAAAGGGAAAGAAGTGAAAGTGACAGGGAAGAAGGCTGAGGAATCCCTTACAATCCTATCAGGGAGGCGGTGGCCAGGGGACAATGGTCTCTGTTTTGCTTCAACCACTATGTGCCCGACCCGGTGCATTGAAGTTGTCTTGCTGGGGGCAGATGCCCTTGTGGCCTGATCTGTTCGTTTCCCCCTTATCAATGTGGCAGGCGCCCTAATGGTTTTTAAGTGCCCGACCCATGCCCATACAATATCACGTTGGCCTAGTCCTCAGTTGGAAAGAAGACAAAGGAGACACTCTCAGCCATTTGGGCGTCAGCTACTGGGGCGCAGGGAGCAGTGGGGCCTTTGGAACACACCAGAGGGTAACCCTGGCCAGAGTTCCTCAGTTGCTTCCACAGCACTTGCCTGTTCGCAGAGGTTCCCTATGAAAAAGGAGAGGCGAGGAGGTGGGGAAGAGACCCCAAGGTCCCCGTATGGGTCACCAATAATGTCATGGTCCGGGTGTGTGTTGGAAAAGAATTTCCAGACATGGGGCCGAATGAGAAGGAAAGTAAAGCTTATTAGAGTGGGAGACGCTGTTAGAACAGCGGGCCAGCTCAAGGAAGAACCGATGTTGAATGGGGGTCCTTAGTCCACTTTTATACCCAGGGTACAAGCAGTGGGATGGGGGTCTTGCGGTCATTTGCTGATTGGATGAGGCACGTATACTGGGTGGGGAAAGAGTAGGGCAAATACCCTCTCCCTATGGGATAGGAGGGGAGACAGGTTATATTGTTCCATTAATAGTTACAGCATGGGCGAGGGAAGGACAATTAAGGTCTGGTTTTTCTGTTTCTGCATTCCAAGACCCTTCCTGGT